GGGGCGAGGCTCCTTCTGCTTCGATCGAAGTGCAAAGCGCGTCTCCTCGCGCCACTTTTGCGAATCTCGCGCCCATGGCCACGCGCGCGCGTGTGCGTTGGTCCTTCCACTCAAGACCCCCGCCATGAGTCTACTCATATGTTCAAAGCCCAATTTTAGAGAAAGCCTTGTAAGCTTCTCTAGAATTTCTTTATCTACCAATGTGGGATGGAGGAAAACCTCCAACCTCACATATAATTTCCAACATTCAGTCGGTATAGTATGAATGTGGTTGGGGAGTCCTGGGCATCACAAAACAAAATCATATGATGGTTGGTCCTTGAACTCTTGATTGTGAGATTAACTTGTTGAAGAGAGGCCATTTCTCTTCAGGATTTTTGCTGAATTTTTTAATCAAAATAAGTGCAACCAATTGAATGGAATGTAGCACAGTTTGGTAGTGCCTTTGTCTTGTTTTTGTTTTCTCATCTTGTTCCATCCATTTTCATTGTTGTTGTCGGCTTGTCGCCTACTTTGGTTTTAGTTGGATTTGTGTGATTTTCATTTTCTTAACTTGATATGAATACGCGTGGATCTGGAAAGTTCCTACATGCCTGTTTTTCTCAAACCCAAGGGGAGAACAAGCATCAGAATTCTAAATCCATTTTTGCAATGCAGCAAGTTATGTTAATTTCTTTAAGGTTATTGACATGTCTTGTACTATGACATGATTGTGGAGAGGTTGGAAGATTATCCTCCAATGATCTCTATCTCTAAAATCGTGCCAGAATCGGTTTTAAAACCGATTTTAAATTCAATTAATTTCCTTCTTTCTCGACTTTGTACCAAAAAGATACTCGGAGCTCGGGGCGAGGCTCCTTCTGCTCTAATACGGCATGCGAAGTGCGTAGTGCGCCTCCTCGTGCCACTTTCGCGAATCTCGAGCCCGCGGCCTCGGCCACACGCGCGCGTGTGCGTTGGGCCTTCCACTCAAGACCCCCACCATGAGTCTACTCATATGTTTAAAGCCCAATTCTAGAGAAAGCCTTATAAGCTTCTCTAGAATTTTTTTTATCTAACAATGTGGGATGGAGGAAAACCTCCAACCTCACATATAATTTCCAACAATCCCCCACGAGGCTGGAAAGTTTTCTGACATTCACATTAGACAATGTCACAGTGGTATCACTAAGATTAAACCCTGTTTTATGCAAGTATGCAATGAGAGATCAATTCAATGGTATCCTTAGGATTTAAACCTTGAATCTTGTGATCTCTCCGACTTACTTACATACATAATCTAACATCCTTGCTTTCTCCCTGAGCGCGAATATGGCCATGCACTAAACCCTGTTTCATGACCTTTTAGGAGAGGAACCACTACTTTACTTTTGAGGCGGCACCACCTCTTAGTCATATAGGCAAAGTTCTATAACAT